AGAAACTGCATGCCTCCATTTTAGTTTAACTTTGACATTTTCAAATCTGACCGTTAAAAGTCAGATTCACAAAACCACGACCACATACACACAGCAACATGCCTCATTTTCATAATTAATTACTACATAAATTCAAACTAACAAATACAAGATACTGTAAATATGCCTAAATCAACACTTATGTACAATCAGTTGATGGCATAATACAAAAACTATGATAAGAATTGCTAAATCCAACAAAGAAACACATAATTATGTACTTCCATAGCATTGTAAGCATATTTCATCGAATCAAAAATGGGAATTACATGACCGAGAAGGGAAACAGTACCTTAACCACAACGACAAAATTTCAAATAGCCAAGTAAGGCCGAAAAGCACAGCTATTGAAATCAGCTACTAATCGTAAGGGACATCAACAAACAGTAATAGACAGCAAAATCCCTCAGCAAAAACAGAAATCAACGCCAAAATTGGAGGAATTTCAAATCGCACTTTGGTTTCAGATCTGGAATTTTGCGTTCTAGCATTTTTTGCTGCTTCTCGCTTGTTTCTTTTCAGATCTATTTTTTTTATCTTGTGTTTTTGTATTTTGTTTTTTGTGCGTGTGTGGTGTTGAAGACATGAAATGAGGAAGACGATTGAAGGTTGTGAGATATGAGGTTAAGGGTCGATTTTTGGAGAAGAAAGCTCTCGTGAGCTGCTGCGCCCCTTTTCTTTTTCTAAAGGTCCAGGTCTCTCTCCGGTTTTTTGTTCTTTTTTAGAGGAGCTGCGCCCCTTTTTTCTTGGAGAGGAAGGGATCTGATCCCTTTAGGTTATTAGAAAAAGGGTCTTAAGTAGAGGGGAGTATATTTGGGGGGAAGGTCTTATATGGGCAATATTTTTGGGGGGAAGGTCTTATGTGGGGAATATTTTTTGGGAAAATATTTTTGGGGGGAAAGTCTCATGTGGGAGAAGGTTCTTCCAATTCTTCATTTTTTTTTATTCCCAATTTTCTTTTTATCTATCTTTTTTTTTATTAAAAGTCCTAGAATTAAAAATCCTAAAAATATAAGATTATACTAATTATAAAATTATAAAAGCTACTTAATCCTAAATTAAAAGAGAAAAATCTATAAAAAGAAAAGGTGTAAAATAAAGCATTTTTGTTGTGATTTTTAATTTTTATAAAACAAGTAACTATCGATTAATCCTAAAAATGTAAAAGTAAGGCCTAAATGTCATGCATGATATTTTTTGGTATTTTTTTATGACTTAAACGTGCACAAGATAAAAATTATACAAAATCCTATAAAATGGTAAATAATTAGAAAAAATCTATTTTCTTGAAATTTGTAGGAGTATCTCGTATAGGGCAAAAATCACGTGCTTACAGCTGCCCATCTTTGCTCGGAAACATGAAGAGTTTTCGGGCAAAGATAAAGTGAGCAATATGAGGGATTTTTGCCCATTTGAAACTCCATAAGAAGCATTTTTTGAAAGAGTTTGACCGAACCTTGCTTCAGAGGTTGCCTACATATCCTTGGCTATAAAGGAATCAGGTCAGGTGTAGTTCAGAAGGTTTTGGTAGCTGGGACTACCGAGAAGCTGTGATTTCACTGCTGTTGCTACTGCTACTGCTTGCTGACCTCCTTATTACACCAAAAGGAAAATCAAAGCTAAGCTAGCTATTCCTATCAACTATGAGTTACAAGATTCCTATCTATAATTCTCTTGAAACTTGATCTTGAGTTTTAGCTGATTTTGCTGTGGACTTCGATCTGAATCTTGATGCTCGCAAGTTGTAGGTGTTTACTTCTTTCTGCAGCATTGGGTCAAAGCGGGATCGGCGGAGCTTATGACTTTAGTCAAATTTTGAGCAATCCGCACCTTTGTTTGCTTCAACATTTTGAATTCATTTCTTTTTGTTCTTTTCTTCTTTTCTTTATTCTGGATTGAGACTCATTCCATCGGTCGTCTCGCACCCCTGTGCCTCGGTGTTAGACCTACTTATGACACCAAAACAAACAAACGAACGAAATTTTTCTGCCCCAGTTTTCACTAGGAAAATTTCGTGAGTTAGTTGTGACACGTATCTAAGCGATCAAATCAGGATTGTGTAGGGAGATCCTCGGTTTTTGGCCGGGATTTGGAAAGAAAAAAGCTCCTCGGTTTTTTGGCCGGGATTAGGAAAGAAAAAGCTCCTCGATTTTTTGGCCGGGATTAGGAAAGAAAAAGCTCCTCGGTTTTTTGGCCGGGAGATCCTCGGTTTTTTGGCCGGGATTTGGAAAGAAAAGGCTCCTCGGTTTTTTGGCCGGGAGATCCTCGGTTTTTTGGCCGGGATTTGGAAAGAAAAAGCTCCTCGGTTTTTTGGCCGGGAGATCCTCGGTTTTTTGGCCGGGATATTTAAGGAATGGGATCCTATGCTACCATGATTTGTTTTTCTTTTGGGATTTTCATTTTTATTTTTTTTCTTCTTTCTTTTTCTTTTGTTTTCCTCTTTATATGTTTTTCTTTTTATTTAGCAAAACGCATGAAAGAATTTGGGGGGAAACTTCCTTTTTGGTCGTTTTCCTGCTGCAAAGCTGTTTCAGCGCTTGCGCATTTCATTTCCTTTTGGATTGCACCTGCTTCTTGCACGGTTGCTTTGAATTAGACCTGTTTTCAACAAAGAACAATTTGTTAGTTTGAAACGGTGGTGGTTTTGTGGCCTTGATCATCTCAATTGCTTGATCCTGGCCCCATTTNTAACGTTTGATTGGGTAGGTATGATGATCTTTTCATATATACGCTAATTTGTAATTCAGAAACGTCAAATCTCAATTGATGACTGCTCATAATAAATTACTTTGAAAATTAGATATACTAAATTATATCTCAAGGTTCTCCGTAACAATTGATTTGGACATACTAATCAATTAAAATATTTAGACATAAAAATGTGTAATAATTGAAATAGAATAACGTCCAACTCAAAAAAGCTCCCCGAAAGAGAGTATTGACTAAATGACTTTTAAGCTTTGCTTTCTCTATTGTCAATATATATATATATATATATATATATATATATATATATATATATATATATATATATATATATATATATAT